TCAAGTTTTTTTGGCTGCTGGCGGCGAGGCTGTGGCTCTGGAGATGCTCCAAAACATCCGACAGGAGCTCCGACATGGCAGAAATGCGCAAGATTACATGCCGTAGCTCTCGTTTCCGTCCTGATTGCTCTGCTGCCAGGTCGGTGGACCTGGGTGACAGTTTGGTTTCGGAGGCTGCTCGAACTGCTGTCCTTTCCTTTCCGGAGGAGGTGATGCAGACGCCGATGGAAACCCTCCCGCAGGAAGGACCGCCAGCGGTCTTCGATAGCATTGAGTCTGATGATGCCGAAGAAACCCTCCGGCAAGAAGGACCGATGGTGGTCCTCGATAGTTCTGAGTCTGAAGATGCCGGCTTGTGCAGGCTTATGCATTTCTGGCCAAAAGACGGCTCCCTAGTGTATTACGACCCACAGCAGAAGGCTATGGTTCTGGAATACACAGAGCAGTCTGATACGGCAGCAGTGCCTGGCAGCGATGATCAGGTTCCGGGACTCTGGTTTGACCCGAAGCAGAAGTGCTGGCGATTGTCGTGGCAAGAGGGCAAACGTCGGCGCACCAACGGCTACAAGGAGCAGCAAGGAGGCCCGCGCGGATGCACTACAGTACAGGCATGGCTTGGAGGCAAAAGGCCTCGTGTCTGCACGTTGCAAGCCGAAGCTGTCGCCCATTCCCGGAGTCAAGAAGGAGACTAGACCGGGCCGGAAGCCTGAATTTTGGGTGCAGCTCACACATCCCATACGCAAGAAGCGGATCTGTTGTGGACGATTCAGCACACTCGAGGCAGCCGAGGACTGTGCGGTGAAGCAGTTAGCAGCCTGGGGACGATTGCCTGAGTGACGCATGTGCTGTCAGAGCGAGCTCTGTTTGGTGAGAAAACGGAAGGCACGCGCGGGAGCAGCCTAGTATAGCCACAGCAGCACACTCACTAAGGTCCACGTCCGAACTCTGGCAGTCCTCCTATGGCCAGCGGCTTTATCTGCCTTGCATAGCGGCAGAAGATGGCAGAAGGCCAGTTTGACGTGGCAGGAGTAGGTCACGGTGCGTTTTGCCAGACGCTGTCGACATCTGGCAAAATGCATTGGCCAACCGCTGCTGAGACTCTCCCCTCAAACTATTCCACACCTCCCAAACCCCGAGAATCATTTCTGAACCCAGGTGCTACCCAGGGTCCCCGGCCCATGTTGTCGTCAGTCGATGCTAGCGACCACTACATCAGAGCTTGAAATCAAGCAAACGCTTCGCAGAGCAAACTGACAGAGCTCTGCGACTTCTTCGGGCGATCGCAACACACTTCCGCTCCTGGGATGAGATATACTGCTCGGAGTCTTTGGGGGATCAAGCTTCGCTTTCTGGGTGGCTGCTTAGTTCCGTGACCCAGGGATGTGCCGTGAAACTCAGACCTCCACAGAGCGATGCACTGAAGCCACCGGGATGGAAGCTCTTTTCTAGACACCAGCTCGACCGAAGCCCCTGTCTCGACGTGTAGGTGCGGACGTGCTTGTCAACATGGCAGCTGCAGTGGTCACATGTCCAATCCGGGAGTGGCTTACACGAAAGACGTAATTTTTGCAAAGAGCCGTTCGTGTGTTGGTGCAGCAATTCTGAGCTGAAGCCGTGCCTTACTTCGGAGAGTTGCGCACTGGTGGCGTGATCAACATTCCTCGATTGCCCCAAGCATGTGCCAGCTGCATGAAGGGACGACGCCCCGTCATGAGCAGGGTCCAGGCAGGTCAGGCAACCCCCGCCCAGGCACAACCTCAGGCGCTTCAGGTCATTCAGCCCCTAGAGGACGTAAAACAAGAGGGCACAACAACGGGGATGAGGCTAGAGGCAGGTCAGGCAACCCCCGCCCAGGCACAGCCTCAGGCGCATCAGGTCTTTCAGCCCCTAGAGGAAGTAAGAAATGAGGGAAGGAAGCAAACAGGAATTTTCAGCAAGACTGCGTAACAGAGGAAGATCGCTCCCAAGGTTCTTCATCTGGCCATCACGAGCGAACCCACTTTGTTTGTTGGATACGAGCGGAAGATCGCTCCCAAGGTTCACCGTCTGGCTACGAAGAGCATTCTCACGCTGGTTGTGAACGCTCTAAGTGCACAAGGATGCACAAGGGCTCCAGCATGTTCGACCACAACGGGGATGAGGTTCCAGGCAGGCCAGGTAACCCCCGCCCAGGCATGACCTCAGGTGTTTCAGGTGAGTCAGCCCCTAGAGTACACGCAAAGGTGGTCGGCCAGGGTTCAAGGACTCTTGGGCTGCTGCTCGGAAGTCGAATTTGTCCCGACGCATACATCCCATGGTCTGCTAGTGAGTTGCCGTCAGACGTCGTCGACTTTTTCGATCTGCCTTGCATAGTGGCAGAAGGCCAGTTTGACGTGGCAGGAGTAGGTCACGGTGCGTTTTGCCAGACGCTGTCGACATCTGGCAAAATGCATTGGCCAACCGCTGCTGAGACTCTCCCCTCAAACTATTCCACACCTCCCAAACCCCGAGAATCATTTCTGAACCCAGGTGCTACCCAGGGTCCCCGGCCCATGTTGTCGTCAGTCGATGCTAGCGACCACTACATCAGAGCTTGAAATCAATCAAACGCTTCGCAGGCGAGCAAACTGACAGAGCTCTGCGACTTCTTCGGGCGATCGCAACACACTTCCGCTCCTGGGATGAGATATACTGCTCGGAGTCTTTGGGGGATCAGGCTTCGCTTTCTGGGTGGCTGCTTAGTTCCGTGGCCCAGGGATGTGCCGTGAAACTCACACCTCCACAGAGCGATGCACTGAAGCCACCGGGAAGGTTTGTGGTGACCCTGGCCCCGCTCAGGGCTGGTCTTCCAGTGTAGCTGTCCTGTCAGACAAGAAATCCTAAAGAGCCGAGAGAACCGCTGGCGATGTACTGCGGCCTGCATGTCGGGGGACCCATGTTTGCATCCAGCGGCCGAAGCAGGCCACGAGGACCCACGGCCCCACAGCGATTCATCTCAATCAAGGTCTGCTGTAAGGTGCGTGTGTACAGGGAACTACCGAAGTCGTAACGCATGTCAGCAAATCGGAGCATACCTTCGGGGAAGCGACGACGCTAGGTCGTAACATTCCGCGGTGTAGTTGGGGATACGAGTTCCTGGCCAAAGTGCCTTTATATTCCAAACTTTAGTACTGGAAATGCCTCGTTTGGCGTCCTGGCTGGATTGTGCTTGGTTGTAGTACAACTTTAGTACTGGAAATGCCTCGTTTGGTGTCCTGGCTGGATTGTGCTTGGTTGTAGTACAACTTTAGTACTGGAAATGCCTCGTTTGGCGTCCTGGCTGGATTGTGCTTGGTTGTAGTACAACTTTAGTACTGGAAATGCCTCGTTTGGCGTCCTGGCTGGATTGTGCTTGGTTGTAGTACAACTTTAGTACTGGAACTGCCTCGTTTGGCGTCCTGGCTGGATTGTGCTTGGTTGTAGTACAACTGGAGTAATGGAAATGTTTTGTTTGGCGTCCTGGCTTGATTGTGTTTGGTTGTAGTATAGAACTTTAGTACTGGAAGTGCCTCTTGTCGTTTCCAAGCCCACTGTTCGGTAGAAAGTTTCAGACACGGTGTGTTGCAACCATGTTGTAGGTGTGCGGGGTGGACCCTAAACCCTATTTGAGACGAGTTGGGATGGCTGGGGCGGGACTTCATGCTGACGCGAGGGCGCGAAATATCATTATAGGGCATCCACTTTGCTAATGTGCAGCCTGAAGAAGGAAGCGGAGCCTCGGCATGTCGGCATGACAATTGATTTGTTCCTTTCTCGAGGCTCGACTTACTGCCGGGTGTTTGTGTCTCGGTCTGTGTCACGAGGTTCCGTGTCCTGGCACCTACTGCCCCATGCCGAGTCACCCTCTGTCGGCAGTGCAGCTCCTCCGAAATGGCGCCCACCCAGCCGGTGTAGGAGGCTTGGAGAGCTCCTCGCGTGCAGAACGTGCTCTCAGGGTGCTCGCAACGGTGAAGTACCGCGACCCCCAGTCGGCTGACTGTGCTGCAAACTGCTGTGCCGCCCTGGGCGTTCTGCTGAGACACCTGGACCTTCCGCGCGGCATATGTGTCTTGGACATTTTGCTGGTCGCTTATCTGGTCCTGAGATCTGCGGACGAACGTGCAGAGCTCGCGACACTCGAGGGGGGGCGGCTGAGCTTGGCAGTGCTCCGTTCTATTTGGTGCGCGGAGAACCCGTTCTATATCCTGAACACTCCCAGTGATGGTAGCGCTTTTCTCTCTTTCAAGGACGTGCTTCCTGCACTGAACCTGCACACCGTGGTCAAGCGAGGCAACGTGTTCCGGGACGACCCGCTCAATTTTTCTTTCACAAGCTACTGGTCGAACTCGCGTCTGTCTACCGAAGCCCTGCTCCTGAATGTTCTGTTTAGTTTGGCGACCCGTTCGAAGGTGATGATCCAGCACTTGCTCCTGAAACCAGACTTGAGTCTGGCGTCAAATGCCGCGGTGATGGTTCACGGATGCTTGTGGTACGGTTTTTGTCTTCGCAATTACTGTGGTGATGGCTCGCAGGTGCTCGTGGTAAGGTTTTTGTCTTGGCAAATGCCGCGGTGATGGTTCGCGCATGCTTGTGGTAGGATCTTTGTCTTCGCAAATACTGTGGTGATGGCTCGCAGGTGCTCGTGGTAAGGTTTTTGTCTTGGCAAATGCCGCGGTGATGGTTCGCGGATGCTTGTGGTAGGGATTTTGTCTTCGCAAATACGGTGGTGATGGCTCGCAGGTGTTCGTGGTAAGGCTTTTGTCTTGGCAAACGCCGCGGTGATGGTTCGCGGATGCTTGTGGTAGGGTTTTTGTCTTCGCACATTCTGTGGTGATGGCTCGCAGGTGCTCGTGGTAAGGGTTTTGCCTTGGCAAATGCCGCGGTGATGGTTCGCGGATGCTTGTGGTAGGGTTTTTGTCTTCGCACATTCTGTGGTGATGGCTCGCAGCTGCTCGTGGTAAGGTTTTTGTCTTGGCAAATGCCGCGGTGATGGTTCGCGGATGCTTGTGGTAGGGATTTTGTCTTCGCACATTTTGTGGTGATGGCTCGCAGGTGCTCGTGGTAAGGTTTTTGTCTTGGCAAATGCCGCGGTGATGGTTCGCGGATGCTTGTGGTAGGGTTATTGTCGTCGCAAATACTGAGGTGATGGCTCGCAGGTGCTCGTGGTAAGGTTTTTGTCTTGGCAAATGCCGCGGTGATGGTTCGCGGATTCTTGTGGTAGGGTTTTTGTCTTCGCAAATACTGTGGTTATGGCTCGCAGGTGCTCGTGGTAAGGTTTTTGTCTTGGCTGCCGCGGTGATGGTTCGCGGATGCTTGTGGTAGGGTTTTTGTCTTCGCAAATGCTGTGGTGATGGCTCGCAGGTGCTCGTGGTAAGGTTTTTGTCTTGGCAAATGCCGCGGTGATGGTTTGCGGATGCTTGTGGTAGGGTTCTTGTCTTCGCAAATACTGTGGTGATGGCTCGCAGGTGCTCGTGGTAAGGTGTTTGTCTTGGAAAATGCCGCGGTGATGGTTCGCGGATGCTTGTGGTAGGGTTTTTGTCTTCGCAAATATTGTGGTGATGGCTCGCAGGTAGATGCCACGGTGATGGTTCGCGGATGCTTGTGGTAGGATTTTTGTCTTCGCACAGTCTGTGGTGATGGCGCGCAGGTGCTCGTGGTAAGGTTTTTGTCTTGGCAAATGCCGCAGTGATGGTTCGCGGATGCTTGTGGTAGGGTTTTGTCTTCGCAAATGCTGTGGTGATGGCTCGCAGGTGCTCGTGGTAAGGTTTTTGTCTTGGCAAATGCCGCGGTGATGGTTCACGGATGCTTGTGGTAGGGTCTTTGTCTTGGCAAATACTGTGGTGATGGCTCGCAGGTGTTCGTGGTAAGGTTTTTGTCTTGGCTGCCGCGGTGATGGTTCGCGGATGCTTGTGGTAGGGTTTTTGTCTTCGCAAATACTGTGGTGATGGCTCGCAGGTGCTCGTGGTAAGGTTTTTGTCTTGGCTGTGGTGATGGCTCGCAGGTGCTCGTGGTAAGGTTTTTGTCTTGGCAAATGCCGCGGTGATGGTTCGCGGATGCTTGTGGTAGGGATCTTGTCTTCGCAAATACTGTGGTAATGGCTCGCACGTGTTCGTGATAAGGTTCTTGTCTTGGCAAATGCCGCGGTGATGGTTCGCGGATGCTTGTGGTAAGGTTTTTGTCTTCGCAAACACTGTGGTGATGGCTCGCTTGTGCTCGTGGTAAGGTTTTTGTCTTGGCAAATGCCGCGGTGATGGTTCGCGGATGCTTGTGGTAGGGTTTTTGTCTTCGCAAATATTGTGGTGATGGCTCGCAGGTGCTCGTGGTAAGGTTTTTATCTTGGCAAATGCCGGGTGATGGTTCACGGATGCTTGTGGTAGGGTTTTTGTCTTCGTGAATACTGTGGTGATGGCTCGCAGGTGCTTGTGGTAAGGTTTTTGTCTTGGCAAATGCCGCGGCGATGGTTCGCGGATGCTTGTGGTGGGGTTGTTGTCTTCGCAAATACTGTGGTGATGGCTCGCAGATGCTCGTGGTAAGGTTTTTGTCTTGGCAAATGCCGCGGTGATGGTTCGCGGATGCTTGTGGTGGGGTTGTTGTCTTCGCAAATACTGTGGTGATGGCTCGCAGATGCTCGTGGTAAGGTTTTTGTCTTGGCAAATGCCGGGTGATGGTTCGCGGATGCTTGTGGTAGGGTTTTTGTCTTCGCAAATACAGTGGTGACGGCGCGCAGGTGCTCGTGGTAAGGTTTTTGTTTTGGCAAATGCCGCGGTGATGGTTCGCGCATGCTTGTGGTAGGGTTTTTGTCTTCGCAAATATTGTGGTGATGGCTCGCAGGTAGATGCCACGGTGATGGTTCGCGGATGCTTGTGGTAGGTTTTTTGTCTTCGCACAGTCTGTGGTGATGGCGCGCAGGTGCTCGTGGTAAGGTTTTTGTCTTGGCAAATGCCGCAGTGATGGTTTGCGGATGCTTGTGGTAGGGTTTTGTCTTCGCAAATACTATGGTGATGGCTCGCAGGTGCTCGTGGTAAGGTTTTTGTCTTGGCAAATGCCGCGGTGATGGTTCACGGATGCTTGTGGTAGGGTCTTTGTCTTGGCAAATACTGTGGTGATGGCTCGCAGGTGTTCGTGGTAAGGTTTTTGTCTTGGCAAATGCCGCGGTCATGGTTCGCGGATGCTTGTGGTAGGGATTTTGTCTTCGCAAATACTGTGGTGATGGCTCGCAGGTGCTCGTGGTAAGGTTTTTGTTTTGGCAAATGCCGCGGTGATGGTTCGCGGATGCTTGTGGCAGGGTTTTTGTCTTCGCAAATACTGTGGTGATGGCTCGCAGGTGCTCGCGGTGAGGTTTTTGTCTTGGCAAATGCCGCGGTGATGGTTCGCGGATGCTTGTGGTACGGTTTTTGTCTTCGCAAATACTGTGGTGATGGCTCGCAGGTGCTCGTGGTGAGGTCTTGTCTTGGCAAATGCCGCGGTGATGGTTCGCGGATGCTTGTGGTAGGGTTTTTGTCTTCGCAAATACTGTGGTGATGGCTCGCAGGTGCTCGTGGTAAGGTTTTTGTCTTGGCAAATGCCGCGGTGATGGTTCGCGGATGCTTGTGGTAGGGTTCTTGTCTTCGCAAATACTGTGGTGATGGCTCGCAGGTGCTCGTGGTAAGGTTTTTGGGAACCTTTTTTTTTGGGCCCCCTTTTTTTTTTTTTCCCCCGCGTCCTGTTGTTTACACAGGGGAGGAAGACAGCAAGGAAACAGGGAAGGAGGAAGGAAGGAAGGAAAGAAGAAGTGACAGAAGGAAGTAAGGAAGGAAGAAAGCAAGGAGGTAAGGAAGGAAGGAAGGAAGGGGGGCAAGGAAGCAAGGAAGAAGGATCGAAGGAAGAAAGGAAAGAAACAAAGCAAGGAGGGAGGAAAGGAAGGAAGGGAGCAAGGAGGGAAAGAAAGAAGGAAGAAAGGAAGGACGGTAGTATGTCAGTATATAAAGTAAAGTAAATATGGTGTATATATACATATATATATATATATATTTATGTAGTATACATAGTATATGTAGTATATATAGTATGTCTATTAAAAATTAAAGGACCGGATAACCCCACATGACAGCGATACTCTGGTCAGCATCAAAGCAGTGCAAAACAGGGTGATTTAGATATGTAAATATGCGTGCGCACTCCGCGCCGGTTGTGTGTGTTGTGCGTGTGCGTGTGCGTGGGGGTGTGGGTGTGGGTGTGTTGTGAGCTGTGTGCTGTGTGCTGTGTGTTGTGTGTTGTGTGTTGTGTGTTTGTGTGTTTGTGTGTTGTGTGTTGTGTGTTGTGTGTGTGTTGTGTGTGTGTTGTGTGTGTGTTGTGTGTCGTCTGTGTTGTGTGTGTGTGTGTTGCGTGTCGTCTGTGTTGCGTGTGTGTGTGTGTGTGTTGGGTGTTGGATGTTGTGTGTTGTGTGTTTGTGTGTTTGTGTGTTGTGTGTTGTGTGTGTTGTGTGTGTGTTGTGTGTCGTCTGTGTTGCGTGTGTGTGTCGTCTGTGTTGTGTGTTGTGTGTTGTGTGGTGTGTGTTGTATGTTGTGTGTGTCTGTTGTGTGTCTGTTGTGTGTCGTCTGTGTTGCGTGTGTGTGTGTGTGTGTCCATCCCTGTTTCGAAGGGTAGGTAAATCTGATTCGATTGAGCAGGGGGCGCAAGAAGCATTCTGGAGTCTTGCGCCAATGAAGACGCTCCAGTTTGCTTGTGATATCACGGGAAGACGTTCCTGTGACGTACCTGCATAACGGCCGCCCGAAATACCCCAAAGATGCTGTTGTTTCACAGTTGGCCGAAATGACAAGATCGAGTAACTTCATGCAGCTGACTCTTCTGACTTTGAGAGTGTGATTCGAGACCTGCGACACGATGTGTCAAGTGTGCTTCACAACGGCATTCCCTATGGGCGCCGTGTCTCCCAGAGGTAGCTCTGGCGTTGACTTTCCCGATTGACTGTATAAGCATTGGATGACTTTCCCTGATTCTATATCCGTGCTTGCAAGCTGACTTTCTCAGTGAGTCTTCACCAAATGCCTGTACCGAAACCTGAATGCTGACTTTCCCACTGACTGTCTATGATCAGATCGACTTTCCCGAATCTGACTTTTTCGCTGACTTGTCGCAGGTCTTCGGCTACAAATTGAGTACTTGAGCTGTACTTTTGAGTAGTTGCTGATTAGCTTGCCATGGATGCTTCAGGAAAGAGACGCAGTACCCGCACATCAACCCCCCCCCTCCTCCCCCACCTCTCCCTCCTCCCTCCTCCTCCCCCCTCCCCCCTTTGCCCCCCCCTCCCCTCCCCGCTTCTGCCCCTTCCCCCTCCCGCGGTACCACGGCGAAGTGGATTCCACCCCCCCTCCCCTTCCCCCTCCCGCCTTCCCTCCCCCACCCCCCACTCAGGCAGCTTGCCCTGCGCATGCTTCATCTTCTTCTTTGCCGGCCCCTTCTGCATCCAATGTTGGTGTGGGAACAGCAGATGTAGCTTCGACCGTGATTGTTGCACGTGCTGTAAATGATCGGCCTCTTCCACAGCAAGAAGCTCCACTAGCAATCACTCTTCATGCAGATGGCACAGGTT